GCCCAAGGCACACACTCTGGGCCTCTTCAGAGCTTTAGGGCAGGATTTCTGGGCTGCTTGGGCTCAATTCAGCAGCTTCTCAGACAGAGTCCTGGTGTCAGTGGGCATGACCCAGCCCTGCCACAGACATGGAACAATGCAGTTTTGGACTCAGATCCCAGGTAAACAGCCAGATTCTTGTGCCCGGAGTGGCCCGGCCCGGCTGCCTTCCAGCATCATCTTCAGCCTCCAGCTACCTCCCCCTCTCCTCTCCAGCCAGCTTCCCCATGATGGGCTTGCAGGCATCAGCAAGTCTGTGAGGAAGGGGTTTGGTGCCGGGGGGGAAGAGGGTGAGGCACCCATCATCACATTCTGGGTCCCAGATGGGTTGGGCTGTGGCACTATCCCATGCCCTGTCCCTTGAAGTTTATAGGGGGTTTCTAGCTAGCCTCTCATAGAACCTCACAATGACCCTGACAATTGGGCAGAGCTGGGATCCTGTCCCCAGGACACAGATGAGGAAGATGTGGCTTGTGTGTGGGTCCTCACCCTCCCACATTGTCCCAGCCTCAGAGCACCCTAAGGTGGGCACCCCATTTTACGGAGGAGGAAACTGAGGCTGTGTCCCACAGCAAGTTGGAGGTGGGACTGGGATGAGCCCAGGTTTCTGTGAACAGCTCATGCCCAGGTTAGGGTCAGGAGCAGCCAGTGCTCTCCCTGAGTGAAGGCCACCTGGTACCCATCTTGGGGTGACTTCAGGGAGGTGGGGGTGTGGAGACCCAGGAGTCCTCAGTCTGTGCCCAGTTTTGCTGTGTGACCTCGGGTAAACACTTTCCCTCTCTGGGTCTCTTATCTATCCATTCAAGGAGGGTCTGGACCTGAGAACTTCGAAGATCCTTGTTGTTCAAAGCCTCTGACCTTGGCACCCAGGAGGACAGGGCATGCCAGGGATAGGACGGAGAAGGAGCAAGAGAGATGGATGCAGGGGCAAGTGAACCCCAGGACCTGTGGGGCCCCACTGGGTGGGCAAGAACCAGGGAAGAGGTCAGGGAGGGGACTGGAGGCACAGTGAAGCCTTGAGGAAATCACTTCCCATCTCTGAACCTCAGTTTCCACATTTACCAAATGGGGTCACTGTGAAGGGCTGGCCCAGCATGTGGGACAAACGTCAGTCTCATCCTTCCCACCCCTGGCTGCCCCACTGTTGCTAGCCAGGGTGGCTGGGGGCAGCCACGGGCAGGTGTCAGAGCAGGCTTTGGTTCTGGCTGCTTTGGCTGGCTGACCTCCGACAGCCTGAGGGAGGACACAGAGGGGGTGTCCTTCCAGTGTGAACAGGCCCAGGCAGTTCCAGCACCTCGGCCAGTAGACCACTGAGGTGGCAAAAAGCGCTGGTTTGGAAGCCACCAGGTGTGGGTTTGAATCTCAGCTCTGATGTAAGCCCTTGGGCAAGTTGTCTGACAGCCCCCTGAACCTCAGAGTCCTCCTCTGTAAAATAGGGTGCTGTGAGGCTGGGACGACGTAGCGGGTGAGGACCCACATACCGGCTGCTTTGGGCTCAGGGAGGATTTGCCAAGAGTCCCCCTTGCTCCCACCTGCCCTGTGCCCAGGTGGGGCCTGCACAGGCTACAGGCAGCAGGCCAGGCCCAAGTGGCCCTCGGCCCCCAGTGGCAACTCCTTGGAGCTGGTCTGGAGTCCAGACTGAATGGATGTTACCTGCCTACAGTGTCAGGGCAGATGGGGGAAGGCGGAGCAATGGCGCCCTGGGGCGCCCCAGCTCCTGCTGACTGAGCCGATGCTTAAAATCAAAGACTCTCTGCTCCGCCTTCTTTAATCCAGGCGTCAGCCAGTGGGGTGGGGAGGGCTGCCAAGTGAGAAGCTGGTGAGAGCTCGGGGCTGGCTGGGGGGCGAGGGGCAACCATCCTGAAATCTGTTTCCCATTTCCTTTGCCCCTCACCCTGTCTCTGGCTGGCAGCTTTCCCAGATTAGCGCTGACGTCAGGAGCTGCCAGCTGGGCTGGCCAGCACAGCCGGAGGAGGTGCAGAATGGCTGTCTGGTCGCTGGGTGCAATCAAAGAGGGGGCGTGGGCCTGGCTTTGGAACGTGTCCCCAGGGAGCCTGGGGGTGGGGTAGGGGGGCTGAACACGGAGCTGTGGTGTCAGACACACTCTCTGGGCCGGCCTTACCACAATCTCACTATACAGAGACCGAAACAGCTCAGAGAGGCAGAGCGACATGCTCAAGGCACACAGCTGGTCTGACCCTGGCTGTGTTCCACACCATCCTGTAGACACCCATCCCTGATGGTGACAGCTGCACAGCAGGAGATGACCATCTCGGTGCTGGTCGTTACCTTCCACACCATCACCATAAAGCAGCTGCCATGTACTAGGCAGCTGCCTTGTGCCAGGCACTTACGTGTGCAATTCTCACAACGCTGTGAGCTAATGCATCGTTCTACAGAGAAGAAAACCGAAGCCCAGAGAGGTGAAGTGACTTGCCCAAGATCATACCCCAAGTCAGTAATGGAGGCAGGGTTTGAAGCCAGGACTGTCTGGCTCCAAAGCCTGTGTCCTTAGCTGCCACATACTCAGCAGAGATGGCACAGCTTTGCCATGTTTTAAGCCCACAGCCCTGGTCCTTCCTGCAGCTGCACAATCTCTGCTTCCAGTAAGAGAATCCAAATGCAGGGGGAAAATGTGGTGGGATACAACAGTCATCCCTGGAGAGAGAAACACAAATAGGGAAGGGCCTCATAGGCCCAGCTGGGTCACATGCTCATCCCTTGACCAATCAACTGTGCCCAGGGCTGGGGTCAGATAACCACATGTTGCAGCCCTCATGGACACCATAGGGTAGATTGTGTGTTGGGGGGCTCTGGGCAAGGCCTTTGCCTAAAGGTTTGACCCCTAAAGTCACACATTTTGCTTTAGGTTACGTCTGCCTCACTCGTCTTCTTAGTCTCATTCCCAGTGAAAAAATTCTTCAGGGACAAGAGCCCAAGGGTGTCATGGTTCCAGTCACCACGGGCTCCTCTCGTAACTGCTTTCCTTGTGCCTCAGCCCTTTGGCCTGCCGGAGGGGCTGTGTCAGCAGGGGAATGGAGGTCCATGGATGGGGATCAGAAGCTACTGCAGGAGTCTTGGTCCTGCACCCAACTTGTATGTGAACCTTGGGGGCAAGTCACATGCATTCATTCACCCTTCTGGTCTCAGCTTCAGTGCCACCCCCAAAAAGGTCTTCCCTGACCCCCCCCCAATATAATTAGTCTCTCCCTCAGCTCCCCAATGTTTTCAGAAACACAATTTACCACAACGTGTCATTCTGTTTTTGTCCGCCTAACGTTCGCCTGTCTCTTCCACCAGATTGAGGGCAGGAGGCAGGGCCGACACAAAACAGATGCTTAGTAAATATTTGTTGATTGAGGTTTCTCTAAACTTTGGTTTCCCTGTCTGTACAATGGGTAACAACATCTTCCTCTGTGAAGCTGAAACGCAATAGGGCCTCTGTCATGGATTGAATTGTGTCCCCCAGAAATATCTGTCAACTTGCCTAGGTCATGATTCCCAGTATTGTATGATTGTGTAATCTGATGTGATTTCCTTATGTGTTGTAAACACTATCACTATGATGAGGTTATATGTGATCTCCTTATGTTGTAAATTCTATCACTGTGATGAGGTTATACTGATTAGGTTTACAAGATTAGATAGTGTCTTAATCCAAGCTCTTTTGAGATATAAAAGAGAGAAGCAAGCAGAGACACAAGGGAACCTCACACCACCAAGAAAGCAGTGCCAGGAGCAGAGCACGTCCTTTGGACCTGAGGTTCTTGTGCTGAGATGCTCCCAAACCAAGAGAAGACTGCTGCATCACAAGGACCTTCCTCCAGAGCCGAGAGAGAGAGAGCCTTCTCCTGGAGCTGATGCTCTGAATGTGGACCTGTAACCTACTGGACTTGAGAGAATAAACTTCTCTTTGTTAAAGCCGTCTACTTGTCATATTTCTGTTAGAGTAGCACTAAATGACTAAGACAGCCTCCAAGCACTCAGCTCAGGCCTGGGCACAGTAGTTACTCCAAACACTGGAAGCTGCAATGAGGGTAGGATTCCCCCAGTTGCTGACAGTGGAAGGCTCTGTCATCTGTGGGGAGGTGGAAGGACCCAAGGGTCACACTGAATATGTGGCCTTGCCCTGATCTCATGGCCGGGAGCAGTCCGCCTGTCCAGTAACTGCTCTGGGAGTTTGTCATTCTACTCCCACTCTGAGGTTGAATTTTAGCATCGCAGCTGTGATTTGGGGCGTATCACCTTGCCTTTCTGAGCCTCAGTGTTTAATTTACAAAATGGCTATTTTTTAAAGAAAATCTACCTCACTAGCCCATGTCTCCAAAGTCCAAGTGCATTTTTTGCCCCTTAGAAACAAAATTACAAGCGGTTCATGTTCCCTCAAACCATAAGACCCTGAGTGTGGGGAGGCCAGGTGGGAGCAGTCCTGGCCTTGAGAGGAAGCAGCACCATCAGCTCCCAGGCTGGAGGGAACAGAGGGGAGGGAAAGGGGTGAAGGGTTTGCAGCACCCATTCTGCCCCCACCCCCCAGATGGAAGCCCGGGGGGAAACCATGCCAATCCTGAGCAGGGGACCCAGGGACCCTAACACTGAGTCACTCAGTGACAACAGCACTGGCACCCTGAAGTGCTGGTACCCTTTCAATTGTGAAAAGTCTCAGGGCCACAGACAGAAAATTTGGCAGGAGAAAAGGAAACCCCCCAGGGCTCAGATCAGGACCCAACCATTCCAGTCTTTCTCTTTTTGTCCATGGTCACTATCAAGGGCACCCAGTTTCCTGTCTCTCTACTAGTTGGACACGTTTTATCTGTTCAAACTGCACTGCGGTCTGATACTTTATTTGTTCTTCTCCAATAAACTGTGAGGTAAGCAGGGTAGGAACTAGTTCCATCTGACAGATGAAGAAACTGAGGCATAGTCAGGTGACCTGGCCAAGGGTGTGGTCATCAAAGGGGTGCCTGGGAGGGCTCTAATGAGCTCAAGCTCTTCGGGTTCGACCCTCAAGCCCCAAGGAAACACCGAAGGGGGGTGAGTACAAAGCAGACAGCCCACAATTCTCTTCTCAAAATATTTAATTTGTTTTGAAAAGGACACATTCCCGGCTTCTCTCCCGCCATATCACTCCAGCCCACCAGCAGTGACACACGCGCACGCATATACACACATAAGGCCAATGGGTTACAGCCTGCTTACACCCTCTCCAGCTAGGACCAAGGGAGTCTTCTCCTTGCCTTTTCCCCGCAACAAAGGTAAAGGAAAGAGGGGCCCACTGGAATGCCAGCTCCCAGGGGAGGACGTGGAGCCCTACACATGGCTAACACATCACATGCACTTAGAAAAATAAAACCAAGTGGTGTTCCGGCATCCCCAAACCGTAAAACAGCAATATCCACCTGGAAGTCATCTTTGCCGTTTTCTAGAAAAAATTATTGCACTAAATTAAATTAACAGATGTTAAAGGAACTCTGGGGTGGGGCTTTGCAATGAAACCAGGGGCTTGTTGGCCCTTTGTGTTCCATGGAACTCAGCTCCCAGGGCCCTGAGTGGGAGCGGCCAGCATAAAGGGCCTTCCTCAGCTGGTTCCACTCCTGCTGCCCACCTCACCCGAGGACTGCAGGAGTTGCCCGTCCAGAGCCACAGGAGCCCCTCAGCAGGGTGATGCCTACCAAAAGTTAAGGTTCACCACCAGGTGCCTTCCCCAACCTCAGGACCCAGACAGACAAACCCCTTCCTTTGACCTAGAGTAAGAGTTACCCAGGTCCTCCACAAGGCTGCTGTCCATCTGGAAAATTCCCTCTCTCTAAATATATATATATATACATATATATATCCTTATCTAGATATACATTTATTACATGTATATGCTTGCAACATTCTAGCTCATTCATGACTGGTCTGTTCTGAGGTTGCAATGAGGCTGCCTCGAAGCTGAAGTCAGGACCCTTGGGAAGTAGATGGCCCTTCCTAGCCCACCTTGAACCCATGGGAAGCCATTTCAGATGGCTTCTCTAGCCTCCAATGTTTTTAGAAGATGTCAAAGACCTGGGCGCAGGGGCCTCAGTCCCTGTTAGCTCCAAGATGAAAAGTGTCCAGGAGGGAGTCACAGAGGTGCATGTTTCTGCAACAGAAACCAAGCAGGCACCACCTCTGTCCTCCTGCAAGGATGCAATTCTTGGGCCAGGGAAGAAGGCAAGCTTACCCGAGCACTTCTTCTCCCCAAAATGCCAGCCTCCGCGCATATCTCCTTCCTGTCCCTGCCAGGCTCCTGACTTGAAGGGGCTCTTCTAAAAGAGTCCCACAGCTGCACTCTTTCCAAGTAAGCACTTTGGGAAGGAACCAGATACCACTGCCTGGCGGGGAGGGAGGACACTGAACAGGCAGAAGGTGGGACAAAGACAAGAGACATCAGGCTGTCATCCACTCACTGGGTTGGCACCTGGGCGCCAGCCAGGGATAAGTGTCCATTCTTTAAAAAAAAATAAAACCGAAAAAAACACAAACCGTACGCTTTCTGGCCAAAGAAAATGAAGAGCTGGGAAGCTTGAGGTTCTTCCACCAATAACAAATGAGAGCTGCCCTCTTGGTGAGGAGCCAGAGCAGAGGGCAAGTGCCGGGCGGGCGAGCTGCCCGGGCAGGACACTGACATGCCGGATGCAACTGCCCTGTGTGTGGTTACAACAGAGTGAAAAGTGTGTCCATGGTTTTCGCAGAACCACAGAGTAGAAGTCAGGGGCCTGGAGGGCAGGGGTGACCTCCCTTGGCCTCGGGGATCTTTGTCAAGTCTCCCAGAGAGATGCATGTACAGTCCCTGGTGTTCCTCGGGGTGCGGTCCATGGCCAGGGTATGTCTTCCCCGGGGCTTCACATCTGTGTTTATGAAAAGTCTTAGAGCTCGGGGCCCGGGCCCCTGGGCCGCCACTTAAATAAAGCCAGTGGTAAGATGACCATGTGTGCCCATCCCCTCTGTCGCCTCTTCACCACAGGCTGCCTGCCCTGAGCAAATATATACATCTGTCTCAAAGGTGCCCCAACTGACCAAAAAGGGCAGAATTTCTCAGTTAATCTTCTCGGCAGAGCAAAAGGACAAGTCCAGTCACACAAGAAAAAGCGGTTGTGGTACACAGGAAGCCACAGCTGCGCTTGAGAACCCCTCCACACCACTGCCAGTCTTGTGTGGGTGTCCTGCGTCTCCTGGGACCAAGACTGAGGGGATCCTAGACACAGGCAAATGTCTCAAGAGCCTGCTATCCTGTAAGGCTGCCCTGCAATCTTGACAACCCCTGGCTGGGCTGCCTGCTAAACCCTGTGGGTGGCTCACACAGGAAGACAGATCCTGAAGCACTGGGAGCCCTCTGCTGCCTCATGGAGAGCAGACCCTGGCCTGGCAACACCAGTGAGCGCAGCAAGAAAAAACAGGCGCTTCTCAAGAAACACGCCCCAACTCTTGTGCCCACAGCATAAGGGGAGCCATGGAGGCTAGTTTTCTAAACACCATGTGGAAGCTGCATCCTGGGATCCAGGAAGTTAAAGCTTCCTAGATGGGGGGAGTGTTCCTTTTAAATCCAAGACTTGAGATTGGTTACTGGGTGATGAAAATAAACAGCAGGCCCAGAGGCTCAGCGTATGGGACAAACAAGAGCTTCAGGTGGCCTCCACGAGTGACCTGAAGGAGACCACAGGCCTCCTGTGCCCTGGTGGTCAGAGCTCAGAGACCAATGGCCCTGGCAGTCTCTGCTCCACAGCAGGTGACATGCAGAGAGAGCCGATGGCCAGGGCCTCCTCCCTGGCTTCCAGACCTCAGAGAGAAGAGGGGCGCAGGAGCTAAGAACGGTGGGGCACACTTCTGCTGTAGGCACAACTCAAACACCATCTAGGCTGCACAGAGACCCGCTCCTGGGCCCACCACCCGTGTAGACACTCACTGAGGAGTGGGGGCGAGCTTCTGTTTCTCTCGAAGCCTTTGTGGGAAGGGTGAAGTGAATGACACACACGCCCTGCCCAGAAACACGCCCTGAGACCTGAGAAGACGTGAGGGGGCCGATAATGGTCAGGACTCGCTCTGTGGAGACAGCCCTGGCAGCCCAGGCCAGAGGCTGAGGGAGAGTCAAGAAGAGCCCAAGTGCTCTGTGACAGGAGAGACTGGTACTCCAGAGGTCCCCTTCTGATTCAGCTGAGGCATCAAAGAACAGAAACTAAGGCCGATTCACCCGTCCACGGAGATTCTCTCGTGCTCCCCACCTGTGAGGAAGCTGGCCCGGGGAAGTCCCCATGTGCTCTGGCCGTGTTATAATGAAGCTTAGACGTGACTGCTCCTGGAGCAGGTGCGCCGTCATTCGCGGATGACGGGTCTTAAGTCTCCACGCGTGTGTGGGTTTCAGGGCGCCCCCAGGCAGAGGTCTGAGGTGCAGGCAGTGCCCCGCCTGGGTGGGAGGACACGGGTTACAAGGGCCCGTACTTGGTCTCATACTTGGACACGATGGTCTTGCACTTGCCCACCTCCTTGCGCAGCTCGGCCACCTCCGTCCGCAGGGCCGTATTCTCCTTCTCCAGGAAGGCCGCCCGGATGGTGATCTGATTCTCCTTCAGGCGCCGGGCGTCCCGCGACCGTTTGGCCGCTACGTTGTTCTTCTTGCGTCTTGTCCAGTACTTTTCATCCTGTGAAGAAGTGCTCTCTGTGGATCTGCTGTCTTTCTCCATGTGGGAACCCAACCTTTCTCCTCCTACCACCCTCCATACCCGACTCCCCTCATAACTCGTCTGATGTGGCCAGAACCAGGGCTGGGACCCTGGGAAAAGAGCTGGCACCACCCTTTCCTCAGGGAGGCAGGATGAGAAACAAAGCCCTCTGGGAGGATACATGGTGGAGGGAAGGAGACTGTTTACTGACAGTCTGCTATGTCCTGCCTCCGCAGACAGCGCCGTCTATACCTTGCCTCACGCAGGCATTCTTGGCAGTGGTTAAGGGCCTGGACATCTGGGTTTAGTCCCCTGAGTACACATCTTGGCACTGCCATTGATTAACTTACTAGCAGTGAGGCCACGCAAATTCCTTCATCTCTCAATGTCTCAGGTCCCTTATCATCACAATAAGGATAATAATAGCAACTACCTCATGGGGGCATTTGACGATCAAATGAATTAGTATATGTAAAGTGCTCATAACAGAGCCTGATCTACAATAAATACCATATACATGTTTGCTGTCATCACATCACTATTAAAACCTCAGCAACATTCTGAGAGACAGGCAGGGTTATTCCCATTTTATAGATAAAGAACCTGAGGTACGGCTAGGCCATAGGTAGCAAAGTGGGGTTTGAACCCAGGTCTGCCTGACTCCAAAGCTCCTTCGAGTTTTTTTTTTAATATAAGAGGACAGGAAAAACCGTGTAAGCCTCTCCCCACTCCCCTGCCAGTTCTTAACAAACCCATCAGCTTGAGATCTGCTCGCTCTTCCCTAGGGATGGCCACAAACAATCTTTTGTCCTTCAAAGCAAGGACTTGTTCAACCCCAGTTCCTGTGGCCTAGTGAGCTCTCCCCGATGTCTGGGCTAAGGCCAGGACAGCAGGTGCATGGCCACAGTCAGCGGTCCCGGGTGAGGAAAGAACTACAGGGAGTTACTCAGGGCCAAACACCACCGACTCCTTTAGTTCTACCAAACTGCTGCAGGACATGGCTCCAGGCACGGAGCTTTGGTTTTTTTAATGGTGTCCACAGGAGGGAGGCACCTCCACATCAAACCAAATGTGACGAAGGATACCACCTAGGCTCTTGGGCACACCTTGAACGTTTACTTACAAGGGATACCAAATTACCTTCTGCTCATCGGGGACAAAGACCTTCTTGGCCTTTTTGATCATGGGCTGGGGCTTTAGGTCCTCCTCCGCGAACTTGTGCTTCCGAGGGTTGAAGAGCTCCCCGCCCGGCACACTAGAGAGGACCAGGTCAGCAGGGTCAGGGTTGAAGTTCACATCAACTTCCACACAGTTGGGGTCGATGGGACTGGGCGTCTCCCTCTCCTTTTCCAGGGAGGATTCTGAAAGACACAGAAGGCAGGTGGTTACGAAGCAGTCCACTGGACAGGGAAGACCCACTTCACACACCCAGGCACCTGCCTGAATCTCCAGGCTGCACAAACCACTGCCACCGGAGGGAAGAAAGACCACAGCAGCATTGCCCCTAGCCATACTGGCACATGAGTTAATGCCACACCAAAAACATGGAGAGAATTCTTCCCTTTAGGAACAGAATGCTCAAAAGGAAACAGAGGCCCTTGAAAAAGATAGGATTTTCTGATTGTTTTTTCCTCCACAAATGTTAAGCAAAATATGTAATCATTATACCTCCTAACTTCCTGTGGTTTCAAAGTCTCAAGTAATAAGAAACAGCTGAGTCTCTCTGTGAACCAGAATGGGTCTGGGACACAGACGCAATAATGGAAATGGCTCCCATTTCTGAGGACCAGAGGCATGCCAGGCACCATGCTCACTAAGTCTCTGACAACTCTGAAAGGGGGTCTGGCGCCAGTCAAGTTTACAGGTGAGGTCACGCAGATGACAAATGACTGAACTAGAGTTTGAATCCAGGTCTGGCTGACTCAGGATCCTTGTCTTCTCTGCCCCACCTGGCTACTGCTTTACAGAGGACTGGATTAAAGTTATTTTCAGAAGTCAAAGGTTGTCTGTGATTAGAGATAAGAGTTATTAAAAAATCCTGTACCTTTGGTCTACCCAGTCAATGCTACTGAAAGGAGGACACAAAAGAATGGTTTAGACAATACACATTTAATGAACACCTACCATGTGCCAGATACTGTCCTGGCAAAGCTAAAGCAATGAACAAAACAGGTAAAAATCCCTGCCTTCATGGAAGGTTACTCTAGTGGGGATGGGTGACATTAAATAAGATTAAAAAACAAACAAATGTATATATGTATACATATATATACACATATATATGTATATATATATATATGTGTGTGTGTATATATAAAGACAAATGTAAACGTTAAATGCCATGTGGATACTTGGAGGAAGAACATTTCAGAAACAGTAAACATCACATGCAAAGGCCCCGTGGTAGGTGCTTGCCTGGTATGTTCGAGGAGGCCAGTGTGGCTAGAGTGGATGAATAAGGGGAGTGGAACAGATCATGCAGGGTCTTTAATCCCAATAAAGCAGTTATTCTCAACAGGGGGTGATCTTGCCCTGCAGGAGACATTTGGCCATGTTGGGGCTGGAGGGATGCTACTGGCATCTAGTAGGTCGAGGCCAGGGATGCTGCTAAACATCCTACAATGCACAGGACAGTCCCTCCTTCCACTCCAACAAAAAAATTACCCAGTCCGAATTTTAATGGTGCTGCTGATTTACCTGAGATGGGAAGCCATTAGAGGGTTCTGGGCACAGGTCTGGCATGACCAGCCTTGGGTTTTAATGGGATCCTGCACAGGAATTCACTGTATCCTATTGGAGGTGGGTAATTACAAAGACGTCTGAGCATCAGAGGAGTGAATGACCAGGGACCTACGTGGTGACTGCAGAGATACTGGTGCTTGCCAAACCCTACACCTGCAAACAACAGCCAAGGTACCCACAATGGGGAAATGCTGTTCGAAATGCAACCAATCAAATGTCAAGATGTGGCTCAGTTTCAGGGACCGGATGGAAGAAAAAGGCCCAGGAACAAAAGGGGACAGTTTACAAGGAGCATATAAAAAAAGAGGCTTGGAGGCAAGGACCGGAGGAGTTCTCCCCATCCAGTGGACAGCTCTGTGGACAAATTCTAGCAATGGTCTCTAAGGTCTTCAGTGCCTCTGCTGGGGGAGGAAGGAGTCGGGGCGGGAGAGCTGAGCAGTCTTATTCTACTAAGTAAATGTATTTTCACCAAAAGACACGCACATGAAGGTCCACGGTGGCACTACTCACAAAAGCCCAAAACAAGAAACACCCCAAATGTCCACTGACTACAGAATGGATAAACTGTGGTATATTCAAACAAAGGAATACCATTCAGCAATGAAGATGAACAAACTACTGCTACACGTACCAACATGGATGATTCTCACAAACATAAAGCTGAGTGCAAGGCAGACATAAAAGAATACATGCTGCTCGTGTGTCTTCTACAGAAGGAACTGAAACAGAGGAAGAATTCTACTTTCATTTCTAGCCTGCATACAACTCTTCAGTATAAATCTTACTTCATCTGTGTTGTGATTTTCTGCATCAAGAGAGTATTCCATAAGCATATTCTGTACAACTATTCTGTTAGTATGAAGAAATTCTGATGCCCACATAATTTATATTGTGTATTATAAAGCTAGGAGCCGTGGTGGAGCAACAGTTAAGCACCTGGCTGCTAACCAAAAGGTTGGCAGTTCAAACCCACCCTGTAGTTCTGTGGGAGAAAGAGCTGGCTATCTGCTCTGTCACATGGGGTTGCTATGAGTCAAAATTGACTCAATGGCACCTCACAACAACACTACAAAGTTAGCTATAAAAAGTTACAAATGAAAGTGATAGTATAAAATTAATTAATTTATAATAGTTAAAAATAAAAAACAGCACACAGTATATAATTCCAATTACAGAAAGTTGAACTACAAGCAAAACTAATCTTTGGTATTGGAAATAAGGATAGTGATTAACCTTGAGGAGTAATGACTGAGCAGGATCACAAGGGGTTTCTCGTATACCAACAGTGTTCTATTTTCTCAACTGGGTAGTAGTTACATTGGTGGCTTCACTTTGAAGCTATGTAAACCTTAAGAAAGAAGGTTTACTTAAAAAAAACCGAAAGTGATGGCACCTAGGTAGTCTAAGGTAAAAGATGGGGGGCTCCAATCCATGGAACCAGCCTTCTAGGACAAGTCAGCTGGCACAAAAAAGAACTGCCTTTAGATAAGGATTCTATCACAATCAGCTGAAGCCTCCAGATCTAACTGCTGGTTTGCAAGAAGAAAACAAGGGGCAGAGGAATATGCTAAATGGCACTACAGGGATCCTGTCAGCAAAATCCAGCACATGGGGAACCTACAGGACAAATTATTTCATTTCTTCAACAAACAAATTGCAAAGAAAAAAAGAGAAGAGGAGAACCTATAAATTACACAAGAGATTTAAGAGAGGTATCGACCAAACGCAATGTGGGGGCCTTGTCTGAACCCTGGTTCAAATAAACAAACTGTAAAACAACATTTACGGGACAAATTTGAATGCTGATGAATTTACTGTAGATTTCAAATGTAAAGTTGGCGTTTTTGTTATGTTTTTAAAAAGAACCTTTATATTTTAGATATGTATTGACATATTTATAGATGAAATGGTATAATGTTTAGGATCTGACTGAAAATAATCAGGTGAGAGAATGGGAAGAGGTACAGAAAGCAAGACTGGCTATGCGTTAAGAACTACTGAAGCTGGGTGCTGATTACATGGAGCTCATTATCGTATTTTCTTTCTTATTTCTATAAAAATTTTTCCACAATGAGTTAAAAAGTTTTCTGTAATGTAGAGTTAAAAGCAATAGTGTATGAGAATTTTATGGAAGTGAGTTCCCTGGGTTCCATACCAGCTCCAGGGTGCTTCCCAGGAACCATCAGCCTGTATGCCTGTAACTGAGCCTGTACAATGCTTTGCAGAGCTCCCAAAACAGGGGCCATGCGCCTCCACTGGTGGGCTCATGTCCAAGTGGCATGAAAACAAACAAACAACAAACTGCCTGAGGTAAACCAGAAAGAAGACGTGTAGATGAAGGAAGGACCCTTAAGATGTTGCTGCCCTGGCCGGGCGGCAGGAATGCCTTCTTCATGCTAGAGTCTACGTGGTACCTGGTTATAGAGTCAGACATCCTGGGTTCAAGTGCTGCCTCCACAACCTACCTGCTGTGTGCCCTTGGGCAAGTTACTTAACTTCTCTGTGCCTCAGTTTCCTCATCTATAAAATAGCAATAATAGTACCAATCCTATAAGGTTCTTATAGGGATTACATGTTAATGCCGGGCACAGAATAAGTGTCAAATAAATGTTAGCTATAATAATAGCGATAATAATAAGCAATATTACTATTGCTTGAGCCTCCCGATCATCTGCAGCCAAGTGCATGTCGGGGCAAAGAGCAGGGCTGAGGAAACACAGACGGGAAGCCTCAGACTGGATCGGCTCCTGCCCCACCATCCTGACCATCTGCAGCACGCCAACCAGCAGAGAGGCTCTGACTGCCGCTAATGTGGCTCCTATTTTTATCTCCAGCCTCGGGGGACTGTGCTGAAGAGTGGCGAGCAGAGGGTTTCCCACACAGCAAGCCCACCAGGACCTCCCCTCAAGAGAAAGGGCCCTCTGGGAGTGTGGACACAAGCAGGCCTCGGTGGGAAGTTGGACTGACTCCCTTGGATGGGGACTGGCAGGTGGCCCTGTCCAAAGGCCTGTCACCAACCTGTGCTGGACACGGTTTCAGAGGGCTGAAAGACAGTGGTAGAGGAGGATGGTGGGGATGCAGTGGAGGAGTTGGCCGACTCCTTCCCTTCCAGCTCAGCCACAGGCAGCAGCAGGTTCTGGACCAGGTGGGTGGGGCTGGCAGGGATGCCATTCTCCAGCAGGAACTCATCCAGGTCCATGTACTCCAGGTGGAAAGACTCGCCGTCATATGGGATGGTCTTGTCCCAGATGGGTGGCATGAGGGAGGCAGAGACAGCCATGGTGCTGGCTGCCGCGGCCTCGTCCTCCTCCAGCTTTTCTTTCCCCTTCTCCTTATCTGCAGACACAAAATCTGTGATGAGACGCCACGCAAGTGGGTAACGCAATCTCAGGATATGAGCAGTTAGCCGCAGGGGGATGACCCATCTCCGCATCCCGATTCCATCTTGTGCATTCCAGAAACCCAGCCTGTGCTTCCGGTATAACCTGGCTTGACCAGGCCTGGCATCACGCCCTCATCCAGGCCTGGGCTTCCCAGGTGCTCATGGAAAGGGCAAGCTCTGAGCCCCGGATCTGGTCCCAGGTAAATTCAGAATGGGCTGCAGGATGAGCAGCTGCAGGGGAGAGGTGCCAAGGAAGGAAATGGAGTTTCTGGCCCTATCTTGACACTTTGGATGGAAAGGGCTGAGATCTGCAGGTCAAGAACTGTTGTGTTTTCCTGTCCCTTCCAGTTATGCCTCTTCACACAACAGGCCTAGGGCTGGAATCCCAGCCCTGCCACCCACTTGCTCTGTGACTTCAGCCATGTTACTTAACCTCTCTGAGCCTCAGTGTTCTCCTCTGTAAATAAGAATAGAACAGTCTCTTTTGTGAAGATTAACGATCACATGAGGAAGTGTCTTGCTGAGTGCCTGGCACCCAACAGACACTCATTATTACTATAAGCTCGTTGAGGGTAGGAACTATTCTGATTCATTTCTAGATCCTGAGGGGCAACACAGGGCCAGGCAGACAGAAGGTGATGGGAAAATGTGTAGTCCCCAACTTACAATGTATAATATTTAAGTTACGATGAACCACACTTATGATTATTTTTTCTTTTTTCATACATCTTATTGTTAGTAATATATACCACAAACAACGTTGCAACACATAATTTGCTGATGTTAACATTCTCAGATGTTCACTTGCAAATGTTCAAAGAAATAAACGTCGAATTTATAAAAATACTGATAATAAAAGGCAATAATAGTGAAAATTTTTTAAAAAAAGAGATACTTGACTTACTTCAGAACCAACTTACGACAGAGTTATCGGAATGGAACCCTGTCATAAGTCGGAGACTATACGTATATCCAATGAATGAGTGCTGGATTTGCAAACAGACTCCCTTCTGATTTTTTAATAGAGAGGGCCTAGAACTGTCTTTGCAGGGTCTTTTCCCAAGCAACCATTTCAAGAGCCCTCTATCCCAGAATCAGCAGGAGAGGCTGAAGGCAGGTACGTTTTCCGGGAGGAAGAAGAGGGGTGGAGCTAAAGGAAAAAGACTGCTCCCATTCAAACCAAAATGAATCAATTTCGTGGGGACCAGATCCCACCTAAATCTCTCAAAAAGTTATGCCTGTGGATATTCAAGAGAGGGCGATTAAAAAAAAGACAAGAAAGAAATGTGAAACGGCTGGAAGGAAATCAAAGTGACAGGGAGGGGAATGGGAGATAAACTCATGACAAGTTCATAACGGGTTTTCAAAACTGAGGGAGACAACTCTGAAGTCTGGATTCTGAAGTGAAAAGGAGAAATCAAATATGATTACACTGGAAACAAGCCAGTCACGCATGGACTCCTAGACCACAGGAGCCAAAAAGCAACCTGTTGGTCCAATAAAAATGGACACACCCAACGAGTTAAGAAGCTGGAGCTTTCAACAAACAGAACTTGGTCACGACTTCTAATGTGAATTAACTTGAATTCTTGCAACTCCTTTCTGTTCCAGGCTTTGGTTTATAACCAGTTGGGAACTAAAAACGCCAAGCCGTGGTGGGCTGGGCAGGTCAGATGACCTCCCTGCTCTCCTCCCCTGAGGCCTGGGCTCCACATTCTGTTCAGAAATGACTCTGACCTATGTTGGGTGGGGTCGCTTGGGAATCAAAGGAGATGGGAGAAGGGAGACAGAAAAGAAGCCATACTGACGGACAAGCAAGAGTAAGTTCCAGGTTTTGCCTGGCCTAAGCAAAGATATCACTTTGAGGACTAAGCAAAGATATCACTTTGAGGACTAAGGTGTGCCTGACCCAAGCCATGGTGTTTTCAATCGCCTCATATGCATGCAAATGCTGGACAATGAATAAGGAAGACCAAAGAAAAATTGACGCCTTTGAGTTGCGGTGCTGGCGAAGAATACTGAATATAGCATGGACTGCCAAAAGAATGAACAAATCTGTCTTGGAAGAAGTACAACCAGAATGCTTCTTGGAAGCGAGGGTGGCAAAACTTCATCTTGCATATTTTGGACATGTTATTAGCAGGGAACAATCCCTGGAGAAGGACATCATACTTGGTAGAGAGTGAAAAAGAAGAAGACCCTCAATGAGACCTATAGACACAGTGGCTGCAACAATGGGCTCAAGCGTAACAATGATCATGAGGATGGTGCAGGACCAAGCAGTGTTTTGTTCTGTTGTACATAGGGTCGCTGTGAGTTGGAACTGACTAGACAACACCTGACAACAAGAAGCAATTAATGGTATTTTAAGTCAGAGTTCTTTTGTAAAATGAAGTTTTAAGTTGTAAGGGACAATACAGGTGTAAACCCATCACTCAGGTCACTGGGATTAACACCAGTGGTTGCCAGTGTGATACAGTAGAAAGAGCATGGGACTGAGACTCATAGGCCTCACTGTGTGACCTTGGGGAAGCACCTTTACCTGTATGAGCATCAGTTTTCCTCATCTGGAAAGCAGGGATAATGCCCAACAGGTCTGTTGTGGAAGACTAAAGGAACTAAGACTATGTTGAAATGCTTTGCGAGCCTTCTGCAAATATAAGGTAGGATTGTTATTATGGATGGTTACTATTTTAACCAAGAACCTGCCGTGTGTATATACCTGTCCTTGCTTGCAGCCTGCCTCAGCCCCATATTTGGAATAAAGCATCTCCTTAAAAACAAACAACAGGAGTTTGTGGACATGAGACTCCAAAGCAGGAGGAGAGAGCCTGGCCTCACCTGATGTGCTGAAACTATATATAACCCAAGAGAGACAGCCATAGGGATGGGAAGCTCAGAACACACCCAGGAAATGAAGAGAAATGCCATTTTTAAAGAGAAAATTAATTTTCCAGGATAGGCGACTCAGAAGGCCTATCCTTCCCAAATCCCTGAATCACACTAAAGGTTCTTAGAAATTCAAAGGTCTCGGACTGAAAGCATACCTCATCACACCTACAATTCCACAATAGGTGGCACTCCTCCCGCTCCCTGAACCTCATGCTCCCAGGCCAAAAAACAAGGCCAAACCTGCTTTTCACATATACCCCAGGGACCTTTGTGGCCCCAAAGTCTAGGGTCCATCCCAAACAACAAGGTTCGGGCCTCAGTGGTCTCACTCTGAATCGCATCCCTTGTACCTGCCTCACCCAAGCCTCGCCCGCAGAAGGTGCCCGAATCCCTTCTTCCGACACCCCTCCCCCACTCCACACCTCAGCAGCAGCCGGGAGACACATTCCCAGAAATCTCCAGTATGTATCTAGTAGCTGGGGATCCTCACACACAAGGATGAAGACACGGCCCTCCTCCCAGAAAGGGGGGCAGACCATAAACACAGACAATTATCAGCTACTGTATATATATCGGCGCTTCTCAAACTTTAGTGGACTTTAGAATCACGGGGGTTGAGGGCTTCAAATTGCAGATTCCTGCCCCAGGAGTCGCAGATTCGGGAAGCAAAGGGTACGACCCAGAAAGCGGCATTTTAAACAAGCATACCGAGTGATTCTGATGCGGGCGTCCCCAGAGAAGGTGCCTTACCCAGGAGGGTCATTTAAGTGCAGCTATCTACTCTCCATTAGCCTCCTCCGGGCCCCTCCCACGAACACCCTCATCGCAACCCCATCCTAACCTCTCCTGATCATTCCCCGTCATATTCATCTTCTTTCAACTCTCCCCTGACCTAATCCCAAGCCCCTTGCCTCGCCCTCCAGGCTCGCGTCATCTCTGACTCCTACCCCCTCCGTTAGACCCCTTCACTCTGACCTCCGACCTCCCAGTCCCGCCCTCACGAGGCCCCGCCCCCAGAAGCCCCGCCCCCCAAGACCGCGCGGACACCGCCCCCCCCTCACCGAGGCGCGCCTCGCGCGGGGGGTTCTCCATCAGCTTCTTCAGGACCAGCGGGAAGGAGCCGGGCAGGCCCCTTTCCCCAGCTGCACGCCCTGGCCCCAAGCCTAGCCCTGACTGCGACTCCCCTGGCGGCTTCTTTCCGCCGCCCGCGTCGGACATCGTGCCCCGCGCTCTGCTAGGGCGCCGCGCCTCCCCCGCCCGCCCCCCAAGATGGGCCGGAGCCTTGCGACCCGCCGCAGCTGCCGACTCGGGCAGCTACTGCGCAGGCGCCCGGCGGCACCTCCGCCTCTCTCAATCTCTACCCCGCCTGCGGACCGGCTCTGGCTCATTAATTATTCATGAGGCAGGGGACAGCGTCCCCGGATCGCGGCTTCCGATTGGCCCACCCTGGATGAAGGGCAGGCGCAGCTTTCCGGGCCATGATTGGTTAGGCAGCTGGGGTACGCGAGACACGTGCGGGGCCAGGTGAGGACCGACGCCAAAGGCCCCGCCCCGTCCGCCCTGTGTCACCTGATTGGCGCCTGATGGGGTAGGTGTCATAGGCTTTCTTCAACTGCAGCCCCTTCTCCTCTACCAGTGATTTCACCTTCTCTTCCCTCTTCATACCCCTCCCCCCACCCTTCTGCCAGACAGCGGTAATCTCTTTCTTCTCCCTCTCATCCCAGTCTCGCACCCTCCCGGACGGGCCACTGGAGGGAGGCGGGGCTGGGAGCGGACCGACCAGACGAGAGAACCAATCAGAGAGCCCGCTCGGGTTGCGCTGAAGGCCCCCCGAGGGTCACGTGGAGCCGCAGCCGAGGTTGGCTGCGTGGGGCGGGGCAAGAGTAGAGGCGCGGGAGCAGCCAATGCGGGCGGGGGCGGGGCCCGGTTTGTGCACGAGGCGCAGCACGTGCGGG